CCAAATGACAGAAAGATAACTCAGAGGACAGAGATCCTTTGTGTTTAACTGAGATAAACCTGTTTGTTTACTGAACCATGAGATGCTGTAGCAGCTACCTTAAGATTTTCTGGTACAGTTAGAAAACCGTGTTTTGTATGACACTAAGGGTATGTAATTTCCTGATTCTTTTGCAAAGTCATCTCAGGAGATAAATGTAGCAATGTTTTTCACTGAGATTCATATCACTGCTGGTTAGCTGCTAAGTGGCATGGTTGTACTGTTTTAAAGAGAAATATGGGGTTACTAAATTGATGCTTGGAAATAGCATTAATTCAGGGACAAATAATTTTTGGATGCGTTGATGAGAATCGTAAGTAATACTTCTGGATTCTATGGGGTTAGCTCATTGAGTTAGGAAGAACAGCATTTAGAGGCATCTACTGAAATTATTCATTCAAAGATCCCTGCACTTGCTTTTATGCCCCATGAGCCAAAATCAACACAGTTTTATTATCTACTTCGCAATGTACTCTTTGGTGGTGGATGCAGGTGGCCTGGCTGCATTCAAAAGGATAAATAAGTGCCCAGTGGAATGGGTATTCCATGTCCAGAAAGTTTCTTTATTGAGGTTTGCTTTGATGTAGGCATGAGTAACTGGTATTTTGAAATACCTGAATTTTCTCTGCTTGCCTCAGGAGCAGAGTGTTTGTTGCCTGTTATGGCAGAGGTGAGATGCTATTGCTGATGCCTGATCTGAAGGGACTTCCATGGTGTTACTACTCTGGTGTGTTCAGTAGTGGCTTGTGCACAGCCTCTCCTTGCACAGGCTACGGCTCCCTAAAGGCACCAGTGAGACCAGGATGGCTTTAAATGATAGCTGCCATCATGCTAAATGACACTGGAAAGTGAGAAGCTGAAAAACCCCTCAGCTGCTGATTTGTGTCATAGTTATCCTTCAAGGCAGGTCATGACAAGTTGTTGAGAGATATTAACCTGGCTGGTGATGCCCAAGGAGGAGCACAAGTTCAGCATTAATCTTGTTTTGTGGCTTTTGTCAGGGTGCCATAAAGGTAGGTGTGTTGTAATTGATCTCCAAGCCAGAAAGGAGATGTTAATGTGTAGCCAGCATCAGAATAGTAAAAATGAAGACCAGTGGAATAATAAAGAATTCTTTGTTCATCTATGGAAAGATTTACAGCTTCCTCAGCCAGCTGAGAACACATTATTATATTGTCAAATTTTAGTAATTTTGCACTGATGCGTAGAAAATCATCTGCGAGTCACTGGATAACCTGATAAATTCAGATCCACTAAATGACTTGGAATGGTTTTAGACACCCTGTGTCTAAAAATTGCAGTTCTCAAGGCTCCTGTTTAGCTCCCCTCTAACTCCAGCAGTGCTTATGATTTTGCTGATATTCTTTACTGTGTCTCGCATACTCAGAAATGCCTTATAAAACCAAGTCTCTATTTTATGTCCATTCTCTACCATTATCCACAAATCAAATATCAATATGGCGTTTGGGTCTTGTTGAGTTCATTTTCTCAGGAATGTGTTGTGTGCTGCACAAGAGCCGGCAATAAGAGTAATTTTTTATAAGGCCACAGCTTATGTGGATGACAGTGTCCCCAGTGTGTCAATATTTGCTGTGCAGCCAGTGGGTTGGTGGTCACAGCATGCTTCCAGCCCTGTGTCTCCTCTGCCTGGAGCATTGGGACCACTCTGTGCAGGCAGGAGTGAGGCAAGTTGAGTTCCATTAATCCCTCCATCTAAGACTCTGTAACAAAGATAGAAAAGAACAATCTGAGATATGACATTTAAGCACATTACTGAGCATCATCCGAAGCCAGACCCTTGATTGGTAGAGCCCGATGTAATTCCTTGGACTTTAGCACACTGAAAAACAATTTAGGCCAGTGTGGGAAGGAAGTCTGACCCATAATTTTTCACAGTAGTGAAATCCCAGATGTCAGGTATTCCCTTTGCTTGTGTTGTCTTGGCTGGAAAAGAGATGATGACTCACGGTGAGTTTGTAGGTGAGTGAGCTATAGGATAGCATGAAGAGAGTAAATGCCAGTAAATCAGAAAACATGGATGGCCAAATGTGGCTGTAAACGGGAGTTCTGCACTTGTTCTCACAGCACATTTGGTGGTAAGGCTTTAATTATTTTAGAAACATTAGTGCAGGTATCCCGTATTTCATGTGAAAGAGCAAACTGTAATTGTGTCTCTCTAGGATTTTACATGGAGGGATAAATATCCCCTAGCACAGGATCAGGGCCATAATGGACAAACCTCACTTTCCAGGAAGTGCCTTCCCCTCTCCCTCCGTCAGGATCATAGATTCACTCGGTGACACCTCTCTGACATTTACTCTGAGATCCCACACTTCTGCCCCTGTGATGCATGATGTGGTAGTAGAGTCAAATTAATGCAGCTCTCAAGTCCAAACAGAGCCTGATGTCTTCTTTTGTAAAAGCAGGTTATAATTTTTGTTACCTACCCTGTAATTTTCAACCTATGAACATTTTCCCCTTAATTCTATTGTATCAGCTATTATACACATTAGCTCATTTGCATGCTCTGCCAAGCTGAACAGAGAAAACTCAAGTCTGCAGGTCACATTTATTAGCAGAAGCAATATTCCCAAGGTATATGTTTGCTTAATTTTTCATCTTTAAATAGATAGGACTGCCCAGAAATTGAACGTAATTGTCTAAGAGGGAGAGAGGAGTAATAAAAGGCACTGATGAAGTAGCAGTAATTTCAGGATATTTCATGTATTGATTTTTAACTGTTGGAGAGAAATTGTGATGTTTTTGATAAAGTCCTCTGAAGAAATGCACATTGTTTGTCAAACAAATCTCCATTTAGTTTTCAGTGATAATCCAATCCAATCTGATGGAGAAGGAAGACTTGCACCCCAGATGATGAACAACAAGCCTCAAAAGTTTATTGGATAGGCACACACATTTATAGCAGTGTTAATAAGGCTAATGCATATTGCAAAAATTGAGCTCATCATTGGTTAGTCATTTATCAGTCAGCTACGTCTACGTTTACATTCTTGTGTTCACCTTGTTATGGTTTCTACTATCGTTCCTTCATTCTTGCTAGCTAACGAGCTTCTCCCACAACCTCAAGTTTCGGCAAGGGCACAGTGACCTTGCCGCTTTTATCCTCGTCTCCTTCTTGCTTCCAGCATGATCTTTGTTAGCTAGCTAACTATCTACAAAATCCTCTACATTTCTCCTGTTTGTATCTCAGGCAGATTAATCTGGCCGTGGCCCTTATCCAGGAGCCAGCTTGTTACAAAGCTCTCAACACCAATCGAATCTCAGTGTCTGAGAATCACTTTTTTCCAACAGTTTTTATTTTCTCCTAAACAACATTCTTGGTAATTTCTAGTTATAGGAAAAGGTAATTTCTAGTTATAGGAAGCAGGGACTGAGTCAGGTCTAGACCTGTAGAGATTCCAGTTTGGCCCTGTGACTTCTGATCCTGGGTCTTGGCTTTCTCTGCCCCAGGCTCCTGATCTGCCTCTGTGTCTGGAGCCACCAGAGGAGTGAACTGAAGCTGAAGGGGGATCACAGCTGGGCATGATCGAGGTGCTAAAAAAGCAAAGAGCAAGTGAGATGGGAGAAGTTTGAGAAGCAACAAAGTAGAATTCTTTGCCATGTTTTCCTAAGAATTGAGGAATTCACATAATATGGAACTCTTACTGGCTGACATTTTACTATGATGATGTTTTTCCTCAGCAATAACAGGATGACCACTGATAAAAAGCAACTACACCGTTAGGTTGATTATGCTATTGTGTGAGAAGAGTTGACCTTGCCCTGGTGTTAGACATGTAACAAAAGAATCAGTACAAAACCATTAAAAACTACAGCTGCACTTTCTGAAGTTGTTGTTGAGAGGTAGGTTTAACTATTTAAACTGCTATGGGAAGTGTGCCTGCTCCCTCTGAACCTACGTGCACATTTACTGGAGTTCTAAGCCCTTAATGCTGGCACCAGGAGATGTCTGTGATCCCCTTCTCTGCCCCTGTATAGATCATCCTTGGCACAGCCACAAGCTGAGTGTGTCCCAGCTCCTGCTGCTTCAGGCACTGGCTGGGGAGCCTACTGCAGGCACCATGGGACATGGCTGCTTTACGAGTACCTCCTTTTTATCTAAAAGACAACCAGCTCTCAACTGCTCTTGCATGTAAAGGTTTAGTGCAAAAAATCAAATCCTGTGTCAGAAGCATGAAGAGCAGGCAGATAGTCTTGAAACGCTGAAGGAAAACTACCCTTGTATTTTCTTCAAAATATGAATCTATCACTAGTGAAAAATTTTATGTTACCTGTGATACATGAACTTAAAGATGTTTTTTCCTTTGGGAGGAAGAAATGCTGTTCATTGTCTTGTAGTTTTCAAATGGTTCTTTTTTATAAATCAATATTAAGATGCTGTGAGTCTGTGTTTTGTCACTGAGTTACAGATTTGTGTTCTGATAAAAGGAGAGCGCTGTAGAAAAGAAAAAAGTGTCAAGTTAGCTCATACTGAGCTTGTACAATGGTTTTCTTGTATTTGATACAAGCTAAAATAAAGCAATAAATAACAAAGTGCGCTCACATAAAATGCCACTAGTGTTCAGCTGACTGGGTTGCTTCTTTGAGTTTTGATGAAATCCAGAGCAGTAATACATGTGCATTTACCAGACTTATTGTAGATAAAAGATTCTGTCAGACTCAGCAGGAAGAGGATTTCTGGGATTGTAACAATGAAGATGCCCATGCTTCCCATTACTTTGCTATGGCCAGATTTTTATTCTTGGGCTCTGTATAGCAACTAACCATAGAGAAATTCACCAGGAAACTTTAGTTCCTTTTCCTGTCAGGCAAACAAGATGCATCATGATATTTTCATCAAACCTACAACATTTAAAAAGAATCTGCACTAGTTAATATTTGTGTTACTATATAACATTAATTACTTTTTACTTGACCTTTTCTATAATATTTATCCCCAGATCTGCCATTGGGAAGCTGGGAGTGGAGGCATTTGAGGCAGTGTACAGCTGCCTCAAGCAAGCAAGACAGCAGAATGCCAGTGAGGAGGAGATCAGGAGCTCTTTGGAGAAACTGGTTTCTAGAGCAAGTGATTGCTTTGAAGTGGATCAGCTGCTGTACTTCGAGGAACAGCTGCAGGCTTCAGAGCCACATCTCCAGCTGTGACAGTGTGTCTGCAGCAGCTGGGAATGGCACCGAGGGGGAAAGGAACTCCTTCAGACCAGCAGGCAAGTGCAGGAGTATCGCCGGCTGGGGGCTATGTACAAATCACGAACAGGACAGGACTGTGAAGGAATGCATCTCAAGCTGTTTTATTTTCCAGCATCAGTCTCATTATGTGGTTATGTCAAAGGGAAGATGCTAGCAGCTCACATCTCAGGCAGTAGATAAAGAACTTAATGTTACAACTTACTTTAAAAGTTTTCTGACCAATCACACAAAAGTATATTGACAGTAGTTCCATCCAATCGCTATAAGCACACGTGCCTTTGGTTAAAACAATGCTTGCTTATTTTGAATACAATCCTTGCTTGTAAGCCTTAAAACACAATGCACAGAACTCTATTGTTAAGCTTAGGACTTTCTAATATCTTAGATATACTTTTCTGTAGCTTCGGGAGTTATTCTAGACAAGCATTAATACACAGACCATTGTTCTATTTGTCCTTACTTTTCTACTTCATATATAATTTTTCTGCTGACTTATCTTATGGCTACCTCTTCGCTCTAATTGCAGTTCTGCTGCCTTTGAGACCTGCCTTTTGCAGCTTTCCCAAAACCCCTGATTTTAAAGATTCCTACACAGGAGGTATTTGGAGGACACTGCTGAGGGTAATGTAGTACATAAGCAATGTGAGTAAGCTCCATTTAAGAGTGCAGACTGCAGTGAGAAGTGGGTAACTATGGCACAAATGTCAGGAGCAGGAAGAAGAACAAATGTTTGTGACACTGGAGGGAGGATTCACAGTTACATGTGTCCCCTTCTTCTGCCACTTAAAGCAAAGGAAGGGTGTTCTGGGCCGTGGCTGGATGCCAGTCCTGCACTGAGAGCATCGCTGGCAAGGCTGCCTTTGATGGAATGATGCAGGATTAGACTCCAGCTGCTGTTGATTCTGTGCTAACTTGTCCTTGTGATACTTAACCCCAAAATTTTTGTAATTTGGCTGATTTACTCTTAAACATATATGTATATGTATGGCCACTCAGCCCCTAATTGTCTTGTTATTATTGATTGTTTCAAAAGGTCTGCATTTAATCTGAGCTTTAAAGGAACTGTGGACATACATACATATGTGCATATTTGTATACATATATGCATGCTCACATACACAGAGATAGGGGTGTGTATATTCATGATGGCAGAAATATGTCTTGTCTTAAGAGTTTTGGATTAAATTTATTCTTCAAAAATTGAACAATAAACTGATTTTTTTTTCTGCCTTGCAGATTGTTTCTGTTAATGTTCTTTTTTAGTGTTTATGCTCCCTTCTTCATATGCATCCCACTCCTGCTGATTTCAACTGTCTATCAGGCTCTGATTATGTACTTAATGTTTTCCTTCTACTTCTTCCTTCCTTATTCTGCATTCTGAGCTCCTTCCTCCATCTGTATAAAAGACTAAAGGTTAACAAAGTTGTTATGAATACAAAGTTACCTATTTTTGTTTAAGGTTACAGAGCTAAAACCGTCTATTTATTTCAAAGTCATACAATTGGTAAAGGAATCTAAAAAGAATTGTAGACCAAATGAATTTTAGGTATTGAGCCATTATCCTTATGCTTCCTGCTTTTTCACCACAACTCTTAAAGGACTTTGGGACTGTACTAAATAAATTAGAAGAAATGCATAATAAGAATATTAAAAAACAATTTCTATTTGATCTGAGTTATTTACAGTGAAGTATACCAGTATTGATGGTCAATTAAGCAGTGCTACTGATCCATCTTTATGACATATGTTAAGAACAAAGCAAAAGGAAAGTAGAGTCATCTCAATCTATTTTAGCAGCAGCATAAGCTGAGGAAGCAAAAGGCACATCCAGCTACAGATTATATGGCACTGTACTTCCAGCTTGAAGTAATAAGACATTCTGGTATGTTTCAGCTTTTTCTAGCTTCAGTTTTTATTTAGAATACAGGGCGTTACAAGCCAGAGACTAAAGTCCACTATGATGTTCACTGAGGTGAACATATTTGTTTGTCAGGTCTCAGTCTCTTTCCTCTAACTTCTTCTTGACTCACACTCCCCATCCTTCTCAATGTTGTGTAGCTGTGCCTGATTCCATATTTTCTGCTCATAACTTAAGACCATTTTAAAACAGAAGTGCTGAAGTCCGAGGTACAGGAGGAGAGTTGGATGTTGCAGGGACTTTTAAGTCCAAAAGCAAACAATGAGTAACTGACACGGTGAGAATAATGTCAGAGGAAGATAATCTTCACTCCTTCTTTTACCACTGCTGCAATTCAAGGTGATTTATCACAAGAACTTCAAAAACAGCCTCTGTAAGCAGTCAATGCCCTTTTTATTAGGGACAAAACTTCTTCAAGCTTTTTTCTATGCAGCTTACAAGAAAAAGTACCTGGGTAAGAATGGGTCAGGCTCCTTAAGGCAGTCAAGGACTCAGATGATCATTAAAGGGAAACCTTTAAAACCTGAAAAACATGGTTCAGTCACTCAGATTGACTTCAGGGAAATGGTTGCTCTCTGATGAGCAGTATTTTCTTTCATTTGTTGCACAGGAAAAAGAACTCACAGTGCTTTTTACGCTCACTTAGTTGCTTTCTGCTCTCTGCAGGGAATGGCCTTCAAGGCACGTGAGGATCTGGAGGTTACTGGTTTACTGCTTGTATGCTTTAAACCATACTTTGTTTCATTTTGTGGGTTTTTTACATGAATCATACCACAATTAGCCAATGTAGTACACACATTAAACACAGCAGGAAGTTTTTGCCTTTGAGCTGTAGTAAAAGCACAGAAGTACATCCCATGGATTTGACAGAAATTTTTTACATTACTGTTTGACTTGCAAAATCCCACTGCTGGTGGTCATTAGTAGAAATCTAAAAGGAAGGAGGAGGATTGTTGATATCATAGATCTTCAGTAATAAAAAAGCAACAGAATTGCTGGAAGTAAATGTGAGGAAATAAATGTAAAGGCATTAAGTTGCTGGGCATAAATCTTCATAAAAAAGACCCATTTAACCTACATATTTGTACCAAAAGCTTTGCAAGCATGAGGCAACCTTACTGCCTTTTTTATTGATTCCCTTAAAAATGCTACAAGATTAATTGCTTGATGAAGAGGTATTGAAAACAAAGGAAATGGGGTGAGTATTTTTGAAATGTTTTGAGGTCTTAAACCTGGTATAAAGGTGCTTGAACTATAAAGGGAAAAACAACACCTGAGTTTTCTGATAAGAAAATATAACTGTCAGTTTCCTATTGACAGCTGGATTAGGAGGCACACCAATTCTATTTTTCACAGCAAAGAAAAAGGAAATCCTTTCTTAGAAGTGATTGTTCTGCTGGATAATTTCTAGAAGGCATCAGAATTCCTCTCTGCAAGATGAAATAGAGATTCCCAGTGCCTGAAAATCCTGCCTGCAGGAAAGGACCTTCCTCTCTCGTGGACCTGGCTTTGTGACTGTTGCCCTGTAATGACCAGGCTCTCCCAGCAAAACCACAAACCTGCACCTGGTACAGCAGGAGCTCAGCCCTGGCCACTGCTGGATCTCCAGCTCCACACATAACTGGGGCAATGGAGCATCAGGAGACACACAGGTGAGAAAAGGGTAGGAGGCAGCAAAATGGCCATATGGATAATGCAAAGGCTGCCCTTTCGTCTTTGTTATAAGTCAGCTCAGACTGATCTGTAGGTGCAACCACTCTTATCTGAGGGGATTTAGTGGACAAGAGAATAAAAGCTCAAACAGGAGATTTGTTTGGAAACAGGATCAATATGAACAGAGGCACATTTATCCTTGATATTTTGAATGTAATATGGGTGCACAACACAGCCTAACCTGAAAACTCCTTAATCTGTCTCCACTGAAGAATCTTGTTTTTCAGGAGGGAGAAGTCCAGCAGAAAGTTTCTGCATGTGATTATTGGTACTAAGTAGAAGTTTAATGAAAATGCACTCTCCAGATGCTGATTTGGCTGATGGTTATTCCTGTTCAGGAATATGGCTGCCTTGGTAATAACTATCCAGATGTGCTGGATATAAGCACATAAGAAGAGCTGGCTAACAGCAAAGGCAGATTTATCTGTATTTATGTACAGACTGGTCGGCACAGAGGGTGGGCGAGGGATGGAATAGGATAAGAGGGTTGTAGGTTCCTTCCTCTTACTCCTTCTCCTCATATACTTAGTTACCACACCCAGTCCTACTTATTTTTGTCACTTTCTTATGGCTGGGGGAATAAAGGGAGAGTGAATGGTCTTTTCTGAAGGCCACTGAATTATCTAAATTGAGACTAAGAATGAAAACCTAACAGGAAACCTTGATGTCAGTGGTCACAGCAAGAGATGACCATGCAAATGCTTCTGGTTCCATAGAACTATGGGTCCAGTTTTCTTTTATCTGGGTTGGAGTATGGCCATCATGGCTGGGAAGTTAGTTATTTAGTATTTACAGATAATTTTTCCTGTTAACTCTGCAGACAGGTTTCGGTCCTCAGTTGATCATGAATGGTTAACTACAGCCTCCTGACTTCCAGTGCTCTCACACTGTGCAGTTGGTCACTTCCCCATCAGGTCAGAAAGCAGAAAACAGGTCCTGGGAAAACTTCCAGCAGGAAGGGCAGTTGAGGAAAACAGACATTTAGTCAGCTGGTTTAAAAGTACACCTCTTGGGTAAATATTTTCCATTCCACTTGATGACACCTGGCCAGGGATTTCCAATGTTTTGCAATATGCCAGAAACACATACTGTGATTATCATCCTGTAGATGAAATGGGCTCGACTTTGTTGGAATTTTTATTATTACATGTGTAGCTGTAATCAAAGTACAAAGGCAGTGGTGTGCAAACAGTAAGAAAAAATACCTCTGAAGAAAAATGGCAAATGAAAAAGATTATTGCTTTGTACTAGTTAACTGTCCTACGTATTGATATATTTTAACATTCAGCAGCTGCAGTCTGTCTCAGGGAGCCTGAGAATGTTG